CTGGACGCCCTCAGCACCCAGCTCTGTGCTGGCCCTGCTATAGCATCCTCCCATGGGCGTCAGACCTCAGATGAGCTTACCAGCCCTAAAAGGCAGAACCCAGAATGAGTGTTCGGCCACCTTGGAAACGGAGGTGCTCATCATCACAGCATCTAATATTTAAACTTGTGATGTGTCTGAGACATCATGGTGGTTCAGGAGGTTAAGCACTAGGCTGAAAGCTGACAGGTCAGTTCGAGCCCACTAGCTGCTCCAAAAGCTATGCTGGTCTGCTCCTGTGAAAACATTCACTCTTGGAAGCCCAAAGGGGACCCTTGCCTATCCTGGAGGGTGGGGTGGGGGTGGTTGCTAATGTGAGTTGGGACAGATTGGCAACAGTGGGTGTGATGTGTGCTGCTCCCTGGAATAATCACCTTTACAAAAGACCAAACCCAGTGCTGTCAAGTCCACCACCAATCACAGCAAGCCTGCAGGATATTTCAGACCAGCTCCATGGGGTTTCGAGACTATCTGCCCCGTCATTCTCCCTTTGAACAGTTAGGGAACTGGAGCCTCATCACTGTGCCAGCAGGGCTGCAAGGAATAACCCCTTTACACTGTATTTGATTTTCCCACAAGCCTAGGGGGAAGTTGTCTCTCTCCCCTTTAGAGTGGAGAAACATGTTCTTATCCTGGGCAGATCAGGAGCCAGGCTTGGAGCCTCTATGGACTGGCCCCAGAGGCCACCCTCCCAGCAGCGCCTGTGCCAGCATCCGGTGGAACTCAAGAGCATGAGCAGCAGTGACCCTCCAACGAGCCTTTTCCCGGCCCCCGCCTCTGAGCCCAAGCGACAGTGGCCCATGAGGTCCCCGCTCTGAGAAGCCCCGAGAGCACTTCGGGAGACCTGCGTCCCTGCAGAGAACATTCCTGTGGTCCACCCCACAGGGGCTCTCATGCACAGAGCTCTCCTAGACAGCCTTCCAACACACACACACACACACACACACACACACACCGGGGACCGTGGCTTCCCTGGGAACAGAAGCACCCCTAAGTTCTCAGTCCAGGCACACCACAGGTGTCTGCTACAGAATGAGGGAGAAAGTCCACCACTGTCACCCAAGGAGAAGAAAACCTCCCTTCAGAGAAAGCACCTCTAGGCAATGCTGCAGATGCCCTAGTCTGATGTCCGCATCCACTCTGCCTGGGGACTGGTGCTGGCGGTTTCAGAGCTAGGGCTCTCTTCCTCGCTTTCCCCAGACAAGAAGCTCAAGGTGCTCGGGTCAGGGCCCCAGCAGAGCTGATCCCAAGGAGGGAACTACACGAGGCGAAAGCACAGACACTGGCCTAACCACACTGCTGGGCTTCCAATTTACCCCAATCACAGCCCGCCCCAGTGGCTCTGTCGGTCGCCCCCTCTGCTTTGCGCTCTTCAATTTTGGTTTGGTTTTGTGAAAGGGCTGCTGGTAAGAATGAAGCAATGCCAGGAACTTATCTACAGATGACGGGAAGGGAAAAGTAGGTTAAGACAGACCAAGAAACTTAAAACAGGTCTGTGCAAACCACATCTGAGTTAGACAGGAAACAAAGGGTGACTGTTCTGCTCCCAGGGAAGGAAGGCAGCCTCACCGTGACTATTGTCAAACAAGGCACAGGCAGGAGTCACCTTGCACGCTTCCTGAATTTCAAGGGTGGCTGCCAGAATACAATGAGGCTCTATTTTGATGCCTGGGCAATGGCAGTAGCTGGAAGCTGAAAACGGGCATGGTCACCTGGCTGGCATCCCTTCCCTCAAAACATGCTCCCTTTAGATGTTAGCCCCAGGGTGTGCTTGTGCCCCACAGGCAATGTGTGTGGGACCTTCAGCCCAGAGAAAAGCCCCTGGAGCCAGAGAGGGTGTCCTTCCCGCTCACTGTGCTCAAGGGAAGTGGGTGCCCAGAGTGGTGTCAGGTGCCATGGAGACGATCGCCCCTCCCCCGGGGATCGAGCAGAACTGAGGTTCCCTCAGCCGCCATCCTTATGGGAGCAGACCACCCTGGAGCCTCTGGGGGAGTTCTCACTGCCAGCCTCCCATTGCCAGCCACATACTTAACTGGCGCACCCCAGGACTCCTTCAGAGACCAGCACACCCTTCTGCAGTGCACTGTGAGCGAGCGAGTGAGCACTGGGTACCAGCATCCCCATCCTGCATGGCAGGTCGGCCTGCAGGGAGATGCAAGTTGGCATTGGGCAAACAGGGTGAGGACCCACAGGCTCTCTCAGCAGCCTTTCTAACAACTGCCTGCAAATCCACCATCATTGCAAAGAAACAGCTATACAGGCGCAAACCCCAGAGACCAAATGATATCTGGGCCTGCTTCCTAGAGGACCAAGGCACCTTCAGCTGAAGGAGGGTGCCCAGGAAGACTGCCATAGACATTCTTAGGCGCTATCATGGGATCTTGAGAAGTCCGGGGACAAAGGGTAGTACAAAAGGATGCAGTGCGTGGCACACCGTTGGTTACTACTATATGTATCATATAAGGAGCTCTGGTGGTGCAGCAGGTAAGTGCTAGCTGACAGACTGGCAATTCAAACCCACCCAGAGGCTCTGTGGAGAATGGGTTGGAGATCTTCTATGAGGGCCTCACTGCTCTGTGCTGTGGGGTCATGATGGGTTGGAACGGACTCAACAGGCCTGACTGTGACAGTGGGAGCCAGTGGCAGGCTGGGGAGACAGTTAAGTGTAGGGATGGGCTCACGCCTTGGTGGAAGGGGACTGACACTGCAATACTCCCTGCAGGGTCCTAAGTACACTGGGATCAGATTCCCAGCCACCACCACCACCACCCCTGCCCCACCACACCTACTCCTGTGCCACAGCCTCCATTTCCACCGCCGATGACCAATAACCCACCTACACACATGTGAGAACCGTGCTTGAGAGGTCTAAGGGCCAGGTTGCATTCTGTCTGGCTAGGCACGATAACCCCCTCAATGACCAAACTGTTTTCTGCTTTAAACTTTTTATTGATACTACGTATATTCAGTAATGGAAGGCATACTGAAATCCAGGGGAAACAGTTTTTGAGGAATTAGGGATTGTGTATATCATTATATGGGACACATAGGTCCCAAGTGGGCCCTGGTGGAAGAATTGATGGTCTGAAGGCCATGTGTTCACATTCCTGCAGTTACTCGGGTAGCATGTACTACAATTGGGATGGCAGGTGCCCGAGACACCTGAGAGGCTAGAAATGTGGGTGGGTGATGTACATCTCACAGGTCACTAAGGGTTAAATATGATTTTTTTTCTCACCCTCACCAACAGCCCTGTGAGTCCAGCTGCCTCTCTCTGTTCTGAAGGGGTGAAAGAATATGCCCAAGGCTGCCCAGAAGGCAGGGTGCTTGGCGGCTAAGGCAGCATGCCTCACCCTGCATTCACCTCACCTGAGCTGGCCTCTCGCAGGCACCATAGGGAGCCACCCCAGGTACAAACGGACCAACTCCACATTTTTCGACTGAAACATGTCAAAACACGCACCCCAGAGGAAATCTGTCCTACCCATGCTGTCTACTCACAGGTGAGTTCCCCCCACCCCCACTGCTCCTTCCTTTGATTTTCTATCAGGTTACTCCAAAAGTCTCATGGGAAAACAGCACTGCAAGCTAAGGGGGCTTTTCTGAAGGCCTCCCACCCCTGCCCATCTATCTGACATGTCTCTCCCTCCCACTTGACAGGAAAGCTCCACTGAGACAAAGATGTCCTATCTTTTTGTCCATTCTGAGAACCAGTATGCCCCATGCCTGACCCAGAGAAAGAACTTAGGCAATGCTTGTTGAATGAATCAGTAATGGGATAGGCCAGACAGTGGCGGCGAAGAGGCCCCATTCCATTTAGTTGAACCAGCGCTGCCACCACCAAGACAGAGCATTTCCGGGAACCCTTTCAGGGACTTGAACAGAGCACTCTCCTGAATAACAAACGGCACTACCAAACCACTGTATTCCATGGGCACCTCTAGTAATAGTGCTCCTGCAAAGACTGCTCCCTGCGGCCTGCATTCCACCTGCTTCCTCACCTGTGTGGGGGGTTCTGCCACAGACCCTGGCTGCCTTTGTCTAAACGAGCGGTTCTCAACCTGTGGGTCTCGACCCCTTTGGGGGATCAAACGACCCTTTCACAGGGGTTGCCTGATTCTTAATAGTAGCAAAATTACAGTAATGAAGTAGCAACGAAAATAATGTTATGGGAGGAGGGGTCACCACAATATGAGGAACTATATTAAAGAATCGAGGCATTAGGAAGGTTGAGAACCACTGGTGTAAACGCTCTGTTCACTGCGGCAGTGGCTACAATGACAGGCAAGGTGCCCGTCCTCAGGGGCTCAGAGAGAATGAGGCCGTGGACCGAGGAAGGGCTCAGGTATGAAGACACAAACATGGGGGGGTTAGGTTGTATTCCGGTGGCCTATAGCTCACGACACATGTTAGGGATGGTGGAGGAGTACTGGAAGAGACTCTGGGGGTCAGACTGGGCCAGCCTCCAGAGACCCCATCTCCTGCGAGTCCTGCAATGTACAAAGTGCAACCTGTAGCCTTGGGCAGACCCAGCTCCTGGAAACTTACATGTAGGGATATTTTACATGATAATGAAGACTTTGATCTACTCTGTAACAGGTGAAGACCAACGGGACTGCCTCAGTGTTCCCACAGAACAAAACAGGCCAGAGAGGAATAGCTCACTAAGGATGCACAGGACCTAACTGGCCACAAGCCCCACCACTCCTATGCTCTCACCAAGCCAGCTTCACGCAGCACTGCTCCCCGCCAGCCTCGGGAGAGGAGTGTGTGAGCCACTGTATGTATCAAACACTTTCCAACACGCTCTCTCACTCTGTCCCCCTGACGCTGGCTCACAGAATCGAACTCTGACATCAGAGTGGTAGGGTCTGCTCTGCAGCAGGCCATCCACCAAATGCACTGTCACTTCTTTATCCCAGATAACCCTGGGTGCAAATGACAGGACTCTGGTTACAAACCCTTCCAGTGGATTCCCACTCCTTGGTGCCCCGCCGTGCGTCAGACAGGAACTGTGCTCCACACACTGTTCTGTTCCCAGGGGGCTGAGCTGCTGCGGCATCACCGTCACTGTGTGAGCTGGGCTGAGCACAGGTTTCTCATTTTAGAGAGGAGACACACAGTTAACAAAACAAGCAAGGGCCTGCAGAGCTCAGGACTTACAGTATTTCTCTGAACATCCTGCTCAGTCTTGACGTGTATCTCAGATGGATCACCGTTCAGAATGACCTCAGCAAGTGAGTTTACCAGGGGTGCATGATGTATAATTAGGAAGACCTGATGAAAAGAAGAGACAGGACTCCGATTACAGTGTGCACGTTCCCGTCCTCGGTCTGAAAGTGCCGTGCTGGGTGACAGGGAGGAGCCATCAGTGACAGAAACTCAAAAGAGAGAGCTACATGGAGAAGAAACGTTGCCATTGTCCCTTCTGAGATGCGTCCCTCCCGCAGACCTGCAGGCACTGCCCGTTTGGCCCGTGGCTCTGCACCGGAAAAAAGGCTCATTGCATGGAGACCATCCCTCATGGCTGGCTGAAACCAAATCCGGCCGAAATGGAGCAACACGGGAAAGGAACAGTCAAACCAAGCCGCTCCCGCCTTTCCACAGGCATTTTCCCGTCAAATTCAATTAGGATAAGGCCGGAAGGCACCATCCCAAACTGTAGTTCTCAGGGAACCAGGCTGGGCAGTCTTGTTTCAATCAAGGGCTTGGCAAAGGGAACAGGCTCTGACCTCTGTGGTGGGATTCAGCACAGTGCCGGGTCCCACGGCGCTGTGAGAGGTGTGAAACTGTGGGGCAGGAAAGCCACACATGCTAGGGACAGACCGAGCCTCGCCAGAACACCCTCAGAAAGCACTAGCTTGCCAGCGACACCACCCTGTTGCCTAATATTTGCAGGCACGCAGAGCTGCCTCAGACACACCTGCTGCTTCATTCTCAAGCACAAAGGCAACACAGTGTCGAAGGGTGTGTGGTTTATATGCGGAGGGGGTGTGTACTCTGTATTTGCTTCCACATGCACAAAAGAGGGGCTCTTGACCTAGTACAACTGACATCTGGGCCTGATGACTCTCTTGCTGCAGGGCTGTGCTGTACAAAACAGAGGGTTTAGCAGCACCCGGCCTCCGTCCATTCGATCCCAGTGACACTCCCTCGCCTTGCTGGTCAACCCAAATCATCTCCAGACACAGCCCAAGGGCCCCGGGGGTGGAGTTCACATGAGAACCATTGGTGTGGAGAACCTCTGGGAGGACACAGGAGGAGGCTGGACCTGCAGTTGTCCCTGAGGAACCAATAACTACAGTTGTCTCTGGGAGACCTGTACCTAGAGTTGTTTGTCCCTGGAGAACCTGTATTTGGGGTTGTCTCTGAGAACCTGTGATCTCAGTTGTTTCTGGAGGGAGAAACAAGCAGACAGGCCAAGATTGGGAAAGAAACTTGATTTTCACCCGTTTCCACTTTGTTTTAAAACTATTTTTCACTAACAACACCAAAAAGGACGTTTTTTTTGTTATAAACCCATCCAGGCAGAAACCTGGTTGGGGACCCTGGTGGCTTCCATGCAGTGGGTCAGGCTCCTGGGCTAGGGGGAGACTACTCTCGCTGTCATTCTGCACAGCAGCGTAGCGTAAACACGTCACATGTTCACAAAATAAACACAAATGAAATGAGCTGCTGACCCCATAGCCAAGGATGGCACCTCCCTAAAACAAAACACATGTGCTTCTAAAATTCCCCAGGACATGTCCTCTAGAATGCAGATGCTGGTGACTCCTCTTAAATCCAGAGGGCGTCACACCTCACGTGACCACAAAACAAACCTCCATATCACTGAGTCCACTCATTCCAGCAACACTCAGGCCTCCTGGCCAGCCCCACAGCACTCGGTGGGGTGAGCACCCATGCGGCCTGGCAGACAGAAGCGAGGCGTGCCTGTGGGTGCGCCCAGTGCCGTCTAGCATCTCTCTGCAGACAGGCAGCTGTGCTGGGAGGGCACGGCCAACCGGGGCTGTGGAAATGTCTTCAGGCCATGCTACCTGCCCATTCTCTGTCCTGCCCACATCAAGCTTCCTGGTTCTGCAGTTAGGGTTACGACACCCTGTGGGCCTGTTTCACTTTACGGTGGTGCGATGCAGCAGCGCACAGTGGCTTTCAGAACATGGAGCGACACCCAGTTTTAGTTTTTGTACAGTCAAGAAACAGTTCAATATAACTCAATGGAAATGGGGCGGGGGAAGAGGAGTGGGAGTGCAGATTGGGCCGCTAACTGAAGTGTCAGCAGTTCAAGCCCACCAGCCGCTCCGCAGGAGAAAGATGAGGTTATCTGCTCCTATGAAGATTTACAGTCTCGTGGGTGTGATTTTGGTTTATCATGCAAGTTGGAGGAATATGGACTTATAAGCTACATTTTCAGAGAGACACTGACACATGAACTGGATGCATGAACTACTGGTCTCTGAGGAAGAAAAGAAGAGAAGGCGTTCCACAAGAAGGCCTGGGCCCCTCCCCTCAAGAGCCAGTGTGCGGGGCTGGCAGCTGAGTCCCGAGGGAGCCTCAAGAGGAAAGGGCCTGGAGGGTGCTTCCACAGGATTCCTGTGACTGCACAGCTGCTCTGGCCAGCCCGGCTACACGCCCAGAATGTACAGCAGGAGCTGCTGGCAGAAGCAGGGGTTGTGCTGGGCTCTGCCACACAGAGGGGCATTCAGAAAGAGCCCTGAGTAGACTTGGGATGTGAAAGTGTCCAGGCCATGCCGGGCCCGGGCAGACTACCCCCTGGGAGAAGTCTGAGCAGCCTGTCTTCTTGGGCCAACTGGAGAGAGCCCCACCCCTGCCTCACAGCAGCCCAGGGTGGAGGTAGAGCGGCCTGCTTGGATCAAAGCAAAGAAACCCCTGTGCCATTGCCGAGGCGGAAACCCAGCTCTGCGCAAACGTCTGACCACTTGACAGTCTAAGGAGATGGCCAGAGACCTTAATAAAAATATTTTCACAGTTATGTAACGGGGTCGCCATGGAGCTTTCCCTTCTTGTAAATACTGCATAATGATGAGAAGGAATCCGCTTGTTTAAGCAGAGGAGGCGAACAAAGTGGCTCAAGACGCTGATTGGGGAGCTGAGGCTGTGACAAGATATCTTCCAGAAGGTAGCCGGGAACAGAGCCATGGCAGAAAGCCTTGAAAATGGCCTCCTTAAAGGACGCGTGTGAGACAGGTGGTGGTGCCTGACCCCTCTGCATGCTCAGGGTCCTGCGGGTCGGGGCTGGTTTCCAGATGCCGTGTGTCAGACTCACACAGATCAGCTCTCCAAGGTACGGAGCTGGCACTCCCTACTCTGTCCACCATCACCGTGGGGTCACCACCTACCTCTGGTGGGCGGCGAGCCAACGCAACTTCCCTTTCTGCTCATGGTTCCTATTTCTCAACTGGGGGCCCCAGAGCAGGCAGGCGGGCACCGTGGCCTGGGAGATTTCTGAGTGGCAGCAGTGCTCTGAGGTGGCTCCTGCTGGGGTGGGGACCCAGGGCAGGGGAGAACGTACCTGGGAGAGAAGGTAGAGAGACACGGGCAGGCTGATTTTCGGGCGCTCTCCTCCCTGGAGACAATTGGGGGTGAGAGAGAAATCCACGTCAGGTGAGTGAACCACACAGATAGATATGCGAGCTCTGTGTGAACGAGGGGTACCCGGGACCCACCCTGCTCGGTGATCCGGGCTTCCTCGTCCGTGCAGCAGCATGTGCAAGGCTGCTGTCGGCCCACCTGAATCCCTCATACTGACCTGAGCAAAAAGCGTGCTCCCTAAATTCCCAAGACTGTGAGTGTCCCCAGGTGTAGGGCACAGGGGGCCCTGTTCTCAGGAAAGGCATGCAACATAGACAGGCCTGAGTTTGTAGTGAGTGCCTGGTGTTTTCCAGCCTTCTTCTGACAGCCTCAGAGGTCAACTGCCATGCCCAAGGTTACAGCAAGGAAATGGAAGGTCTGAGTGCCCAGGTCTCCAGCTTTGTGCCCCATGCCTAGCCCCAGTGCTGCTTTGGAGGGGGAGGGGTCTAATGAGGACTGCCGTGGCTTTACTTACTTATTTATTTTTAGTGAGAATCCCCGTGTTTCATCTCCAAAGAGCAAGCCTTTGGGATACATATGGGGCTTGAAGCCTCTGGCTCTGCCCTGCCCTCCTCAGGGGCTCGCTCTCTTCCTCTGTGGCCCCACCCTGACCCCTGTGCCCCAGGAGCCACTGGGAAGCACCACCTCCGGCCTGGAGCAGCAATTCTCAGAGAGGGAGTCTGGGGCCACCTGCTCTGAATCGCCTGGGGCAGGTGACAGTTGCAGCTTCCCGGTCCCACCCAGGCCCTCCGGAGCAGAGTCCTGACAGGCCCAGAGTCTCCACAGCACCCCTCAAGGGCTGGCTGGAGGCTGGACGTCACTGCCCTGCGCCTGCTGCTAAGTGTCCATGGTCTCCTTTCTAGCTTAGAGCAAGTGTGGCTGCTGGCTGGACCTGCCGCAAGTCAATCAGCTCGGGCAGCCACCAGGAATAGAAACCCCTCAGAGGAAGTCCGCACACAAACCCCAAACCCACATGCCGAGGGGGGCCTGTTTCCTTCTGATGTCAGTCGTCCGCTTCTGTCATTCGCTTTCAGTCTGGGTGCACGTGCACGTGTGTGCACACACACCACTATCTCACACATGCTCACGCACACCATCTCACATGCACGCTTTCTCGTGCACTGGCCCCCTGGACCCGTAGGCCCAGCCCCTCACTTTGTCCTGGTGTTCCAGCGAGCACACGTAGAGTGGCAGGAAGAGCCTGTTGAGCAGGTGGTCGGTGAGCACGTCGTTGAGGAACTCGCAGTTGATGATGAGGATGTCATTGAGATAGTGCAGGTGGTCCAGGTGCTCAGCTACCAGGTCGCTCAGTTTCCCCCGATTCCGGTGCCTACCGGGAGAAGAGGCCTTAGTTGGAAGTTAGTGCCCAGAGCCCTCGGGCTAAAAAAGCAGTGGCCAGTGACTCAGGTCACCAGAGGTGTGCAGGCTGTCCCAAGGCCTGAGTGGTGGGAAACACGATGAGAACGCAGAGGTCTGCTACAGTGCAGTTCAGTGGGCTGTAGGGGGACCCCACCCTAGAGAGGGCTCAGTACCACTCACCCCATCACAGTAAAAAAAGAAATAGTGTAAACAAAGCAAAAATCAGGGGTATGGCTCCCTGCAAGCCATTGCACAAGAGTAGCCACTAGCCAATGTGGCAAAATTCTCCTGATTCTCAAGATGAGCCCTATTAATGGAGGAGTAACTCTCGGGTAATTGAAGCGCTCTAGCAGCGTTCAGAGAGCAGTGCGCTCAGAGGCATCCTCCCCCCTGGCCCTAAGCACAGTACACCTGCCCAGCCTAGCCCCAGGTGTCTGTCTCCTCACAGCTCAGCGAGGACCCTCGGAAAGAAACCTCTTTCCACCCAGGACCTCAAATGGCCGGTGGTCACTGTTGCCCCACCCCCACTGCCATCTCTCTGGAAAAGAACAATCTAGCAGATAAGCCAGGTGGCTTGTAGCTTTATTTGTTTGATTTTCGTCCACGGGTGTTGGGGTGTGGCACACCGACTGACCACAGACCTCGATCAGGAGCACCTGACTTATTATCAACTTCCCACTAGTACAAATAGGCGGCTAGAGCTTTCTCGAGTGTAAGTCCATACTCTACCTTCACACAGGTGGAAAATTTTGTTTGCATGTTTATGCTTCCTCACTGAAAATGGATCCTCCCTGATCACTCTATCTGCTCAGCACCCAGGGGATAGGGGGAGGGTATGTGTGTGTGTGCGCGCGCGCGCGTGCGCAAGTGCAATCACTCACTCCTCGTCCGTCTGCACACAGTTGTCCAGCTCAATCACGTGACTCCCGATGAACCACACCAAGTTGGAGAAGTAAGGAACAGCTGTTTTGTCCCTGATGTAGTGCAACATGGCCTGGTTATCCACTGAGAAAATCCACAAGGGGGAGGAGGAGGAGAAAGTGACGTTACAAAAACACTAAATAAATAAAGACTTGGGGAAGTTTAAAAATAACAACAACAACAAAAAAAAAACAGAGAAAAAGTTCTCTCCTCTCATCCTGAATCTTTGCTATCTTTCCTGGAAACATTTGGAAATGTTCATCATAGCCACACAATTCTACTTATCAAAGGCTGTTCTGATGCAGTGTGTTACCAAGAAGAAAATATGTTCCTTGGGCTACACATTAACAAACAGTGCATTAAAATGCCTACGGTCAAAGCCACCACTCTCTAGCCCACTGCCCACACTGACAAATAAGGATCAATTCAGAAAGCTGAGAGCAGAGGTTAATAACTTACATGACACTGGAATAAGGAACACGGGACTCGTCATTGGAGGAAGGGCAAAAACAGACAACAGTTAAGAGGGTTAGAAACGGAGATGGTGAGACAGGTGCTCAGAGGGCTAGGAGCGAGGGCAGGAGGCATCTAAACAGAAACAGACAGGTTAGGAGAGAGCAAGGTACCCCAGAGAGGGTGGGCCCGGCGTGCAGGCTGAGCAGTCCAGTGTGTGGACTGCTGAACACCTGAACACGTTTGCATGCTAAGAAGGCAGCTTCTTGGGCAAGCTACCCCATTAAAAATGTGAGCAGCTAGCCTTTCTCCCAACCCCCCTCAACGAAGCCCATCAAAGTCAATGAACAGACATCTCTGAGAGCCACACTTGGCCATAAGGACCTGGGCTTTCGACCTCAGGGTGGGCTGAGAATGACCCTTTAATTGTAATGGGACCCCAGAACTCCACTGGAGTGAAGACCACCAAATAACACCTCCACCCCACCCCCTCCCCCACTCAACATGTGCTGAACCAAGGCTCTGGATCCCTGAAAGGGCGGTGACCTCAGGGGTCCTGCCCTAACTAGGCAGAGAGCGTCCTGGGGAGGCCTTGAAACTCCTTTTTGGGACCTGGGGTCCAGCTGGCCTTGGGGGTCCCCGCACTGGGAGGCCCCGGGGAGGTTTTCTCCTGGAGCCAACTTTTGTGGGATTAAGTAGCTCTCCAAATAGGAGGGACTCATTTGTGCTGGGCTTTCAGAAGACAACACTGCCCCCTGCCGATTGTGCCATGAATGGCCTTCATGTATTAAAAACCAAAACCGCACTGCCTTGGGGCGGATTTTGACTCTTTACACCCCTACATCCAGCGCCTGAGGTTGTAACGCTTTTCGGGGCAGACAGTCTCCTCTGTCTTGTAGGAGCAGGTGGGTTTGCACTGCCAACCTTGGAATCAGCAGTCCAGGGCAAAGCTTTTCTTCCTACTTTAAGAGAAATAGCCCCTAGCTTTTTTGACGTGTATTTTATAAGCTGAAACACCAAATCAAAACCCAACCTCTACCAGGCAACTCCCCTCCCTTAAGGACAGTGCAGCCAGGTGAGCTGGTGCACAATGGGCTGGGACCGCCTTCTTCTGAGTCTCACTGGCCGCTATGCCACCCCTTGTTTGAGGAAGGTGTTTGTGCTCTTCTCAGACAAGTCCCCACCTCACACAGGCTCCCCATGGGCTCTGGCTTTCAAGGGTTTTGCCTCACAGCACGGTCACCTCAAACCTCACACGTGCTCTCCCAGGACCCCATGCCGCCTCTCAGCAGCAAGGAGAATTTAACTCAAGGCACCTTGTGTGTCAGGTGGAATATGCTTGGCACTAGGCATCCAGGGCTTCTACTACATTATCCCCCTGCTGGTTTCCAGAAAGAAAGGGGGTTTACTTACCTTTGTACACATTCAAAGTTATGGTTCTGACAGCAATTCTAACCATGCTTTCAGGATGATTAAAAAATTTGATGGCTTCTGTATACAGGGCAAAGTCGTTAGTGTGCTAAAACACAAAAACAAATCGGAAATGAGTTAACAGCCCCAACAAGGGATCTGCCCTAGTCCACCCCAGCTTGCCAGATTCTGAAACCCAATGCTACCAACAGGAACCCTGATTCGGTGAGTGAGGCCCAGAGGGGAATATAGGAAGCGGGTGCTGTGTGAAGATCCTGCTTGGAGGCGAGGCCGTGGGCAAAACAAGCACGGGTTCCCCAAAAGATATAAAAGGCCTGGGTTCATAATGCGCTCCCTGCCTGCCCTGGGAGTTGTTTGACGGGGCATTTCTAAGGTCGTCCTCATCTATAAGCCTAGGGACAATGGCTGCTCTGTAGAGATCAGCATGAAGTAAGGTCAGTCAGGTTCAGCCCTTCCACTGGGGCCTGATCTCGAATAAGCACTCACACTGACGGACGTGGTTGGCAAGAAATGCTCTCAACCAGTAACAGGCCAGCGTGTGAGTTGCATGAAATGTGAAGTATCTATTGGCTATTATGGGAACATTGTCAGGGAAGATGCGAGCTCCAGGAATTTTATGATACTTAAAAAGGGGCTGTCAGGACAGTTCCAAAAAGTCCGCCTGAGCCTCAGGGCAAGGTCCACAGGCCTGGGCTCTCTTGCCTGCTGCCCTCTTGTGGCCAATCCTGCCAGAGCGCTTGGGATGTGACCCAGTTTGGGAAGAAGGGGGCTCTTCTGTTATGCCAACGAGGCCATGCTGAGCTAGAAACTCAAAACCTCACTGCCATTGGTTCATTCTGATTCATGGGCACCTAGGATGGGCCCTAAACCCAGTCACTCCTGTGTCACACGACCAGCAGATGACACACACATACACACACACACACACACACACACACACACACACACACACACACAC